CACACACACACACACACACACACACACATATATATATATATATATATATATATATATATATATATATATATAATGGTTGGGATTGATGGAGGAAAATAAAAGACAGTTCAATTTGTTGGACCTTTGGCAAATTTGGAGGTGATTTTATTGGTCTTTTGTAATCCTGACATATGTTTACTCTTACAATTAAGTGAAAAAAAACCATAATTTTTGCCTAATTAGACATTAATTAGCATATAAAGAAGACAGAATAATTAGAGTTATATTATTTTTGTCCATTGATGGACATCTTCTAAGAGTCCTTTCATCAGTTGCAAATGCCATAAACAACCTCACAATTAACTCTGTGTTCTCCTTTTATAAAGCTAGTGTTGTATTGGTTTGAGTGAACTCTTAATTTGTGACTTGATGCTAATGACTTCAAATCAAGAAAAAAAAACCTGTGCTCAGTTGACTTAAATTCAACATGATGATGCTTTACTAGATGGAAATTTAAGTTGGATATACTGGAAACCATGAGATTTGCTCAAGTACCATTAGAACTTTCAGGACATTTTGCACTTCAAACTTTATCCTACACAGAGGTTTCTAATTTGCTTTCAGTACTTCCTCAATTTAAGTCACATCACAAAGAAGACACAGCACATCAATTCAGCCTCAGTCTGAGAAGTTATTAGTATTAATGCTTCCAACCATTCAATCAACATATGAAGAAAACAGAGCCACATTCTTTGTATGCTTTCCGACCAATAATTGAACATGGGCTTATATAAAAGTAAAGCAATTTAACATGTGTTGACCATCAATTTAATGACATCAAAAAAATAAAACAAATAAAAAAAATAAAGAGAAGCCAATAACCAGTCCAAATTCCTCTCCTTAAATGCCATTTAATGTGTAGTAGAGTCTTGTTCCAAGCAAACTCAGATCCAGGCATTTGGTGCATGCACCAAAGTTGCTCACAGCATTAGTACACAGCACCACCAACCCATCAGACCACTTTAAAAGAGGGAGGAAAAGAAAAAGGTAAGGACAGATGCATAACATCCAACACATATCACAAATTAATAAAGAGTCAATCACTCTGAAACAATCTCCTGCTCACCTTTATACTGCCAACAAAAGTAAAAGCAACATACATGTCACCTACCTCTGACATGAAACTGCATGGTAGGCCATATGTTGGATGAACTTTCTTGGCATTTTCACATGTAGCCAATGCTCCCTAATAATAATCTCCAAGTCCGATTTCTTTGCATAACCTTCATGGTTATGGCATCTTCTGTAGATTGTTAAGGCTCTCCCAGTGCCCATCCACTGAATCCTGGATGCCTTCGTCAGCAAACTTCCACAAAGATCTCCAAGCTCCATCAGTGAGTTAAACCCACCACCTACTTGGCCCATCAAGCAAGATAACATGTCTGAGTTCCTCCACTTGTAATTCTGATAATGTCATACAGCCAAGGGTTGAAGAGAAGATGCAAAGTCCCTTAACACAAAAAAGTACACACAAATGTGGTCCCTATAACCCACGGTTGCCACCAAAAGACTCAAAAGTGATCAATGCTATCCCAAGGTAGCAGCACTGGTTAGGACAACTGTTTTGTTCACCTAACAATGCCAAACTCTCAACCATCTACATCCAATAATCAATCGACACATTCCATATTAACCATCCCAGTTAGGTGTCACAAGTTCATTTCTACCTCAAGATGAAATTGGCATCTAGACCACAAAAGCGATAATAAATTCCCAAACATTGATGTTGATTTTTCTTGCACAACCTTGGAAAGGACACCTCAAAACCCAGACATGCTCACTACAGGGCATTAAGGAAGGACTTGAACCATCACAAATCACCATCTTCGTAGAGAACCTAGAACGATTAAGGAACACAACCAAATGTTCATTAGCCACAAGCCAGTTCTCCAAATTATCATATCCAGAGCGACATTACATCCAAGGTTCCACTAGAAATAGAAAGAATGTCCAATTAAAGGCCGCCATGTAAAAAGCAACATAAATTGACAGAATGCTTCATATAACTTTAACAATATGATATATATCGCAATGCATATAAATTATGGACAACAATTTTCCTGATCTTTCAGACCACACTACAGAATTGTTCCCTATCACATCCAACACAAACTACTCCGAGCCGAGAACTCATCTCTTCAGTATAAAAAGAACAAGAAGTGTTGCTGAACATTGTAAAGTTCAATTTACGAAATATAGTCAGAAAATCAAAGAATTTACCAAATCATAAACCAAAATTCGAAACAAAGTTCGTACTTTGTTTGCTTGAGAGATTGCATACAACATATCCAAAAGGCAGTCACCATCATAAGCTTCCATTAGGATCCCACAAAGTCAGTAAGGAATAAGAGATGGCAACAACACACATCCATAAAATATTATGCTGCATGACTAAGTTCTTCCCGAATTTCCTATAACTTGCCCCACCACCATGACTGCATCTTTTCAATCAAGAATGTGTACATGTAGATCAATAAGAAGAACATCACATAAAGCAACAACTCGTGAACAAACAACCAAGGATATGATGAAGATAACCAAGGGATGATCCACATAAAATTAGGATCAATTATAAAAAATAATGTATTTGATTAAATAGAAATAAAGCTTAATCAAGTGCTACATCAAGCAGATAACTTATGCACCAACTTTTCCTAATCTTGGTTCGACCAACTGCAATAATGTAGGTCCTCAAGTGGGGCACTTCACTAAATGCCTTTAGATCATCTTTCCTCTCCAACCAAAATAAAACCTGCCAAATCTCAAAAAGATGCAACTTCAAAGAGACTAGCCTTGTCACTCCATTACCCACTATCCATCCCACCAAAGATGGACATTATAATTGCAAACACTAAGGGGAAAAAAGAAAGAAAACTACACAAATTTCATTGCCTTAAAACATATACTGGGGATTTAGACAAGTAAACCAAAAGAAAAAAGAGTTAAAAGTTCAAAATATAGGAAAGCAGTTTACCTGGAGTCGGTCTTGATTCAACCCCTATATTTGAATTGACTGAACTCCATGAAGTTTATAATAAATCGGTTTTTGAAGAAATGAATCTCTGAAATCACTCCTTTCTGCATCTTTTCCTTCTTCACCAACCAACCAAAAAATATTGTATAATAAGAGTCATTAAATATTACTGTTAAATATTACTGAATGCTTCCCATCCAAAATTTCTTGGTGCTCAAGCCATGCACCAAGCAATGCAGGTTGATCATGCCCATTCATCTGACCGTTTGAATTTAAATTCTCACCACCAACCGCAGACAAGCTTGAAGGACCAGCAGAAGCCATTGCAGCAGAGATCACTTTCTCCGGTGGTGATTCCCTCACTAGTGAATGGACCCATGACAGATCAGGCTCGTCCCCATTTCCTCGTAATTCAAAGGATGATGATCGTCTAAGACGTCCCAGCTCTTCACCATTCACTGTCCAATCAGGTGTACCGGAGGGGGATGCCCACTTGGACCATGATGAGTTAACAGGAGAGCCAACAACAGGAGATGAGATGGGACCAAGATCACGGGAGCTCAGGCTCCTGAGTGTCTGCTGTTGCCTCTCCCTTTGTGAAAGAACAGCCAGACGAGAACTCACAGGAGAGACAGGCTCCATGCTTCGTGGAGACATGACACCAGGAGAAGAGGTATTCAGAGAGGCCTGTAAGAGTGATGAATGAGCAGGTAGCTGCTGAGAATCCACCGCCTTCGGTGAGAACACACTTGTATTAATGGGTGAGAGCAGGCTCTGCTGCTGCTGGAACTGGTTGAGTATAGCTGCCTTGTGTGACGGAGAAAACACAGCCCCCTGATCAGAATTGTACCTTGGAGATATGGCGACCTCTGCTGAAAAAAGATCATCAAGGTTTGATGGATTCAGTGTATTGGTTCGGATGGTACAATTCCCAGCAGAAGAACTCAGACGGGAGTAGCACAGGTCATTCAACAACTGCTGGGTATCAAACTCGGATATTGCTGAGAGGTCATCCGGAGGGATGTCTCTCACACTGAGAGATGAGCGCAGCCTGCTTGCCTGGAGATTGCTTGCAGGAAGATTCAACGTGGGCATGTTTGGCTGCGGCCAACCCAACGAAGAGTGTCCAATACCATTGGCCGACGGCGACATGGGTGGCGTGAAGGGAGACATAACAGCAGAGACCGATGACGGCGAGCCGGGCATGAGCCCCATCGCAGCTGCCATCTCCATTGCAGCAGAGGTTGCACGTGGAGAAGGAACAGCAGAGCCAGTTGACACATAGAGCGGACGCAGCTCCTCGTTCGTGTGCGCAAAGAAACAGACCCGGCGGGAGCAACTGGTTCCATCCTTGCAGAGTCTCGTGCGGTACTGCGCCGGGTGAAGCCAGCATTCGAACACCCCATGTGCATACTCACACATGTCTCCCCTCCGGCACGACCCCTTCCGAAAGTCAGGGCACGGGACGCAGCTGTAGTGGTATTTCCTCGGGTCACGCCGCCGGGCGTTCTCACCAGGGTGGACGAAGGGGCACTCGGTCCAGTCATGCGAATAAGCACGAGAGCACGGGCGGATCTTGAAGGAGAACATACGGAACTCATCCGTGGTATATATGCTGTTCTTGATATCTGGAAGCGACGGGTCTACTGGATACTCTTTCTTCTCGGACACCCTCACCGGGGGAAGGTCAGGGTCCTTTGCCGTCGGAGGAGAGGAAGTCGAGTTGGACGATTGAGTGCCGTCCTCATCAGGGGACAAAGAACGCGGTGGCGAATTGGAGCTCGTCGAGTCGGTCATCACACCAAGGGGAAGATGATGGTGATCGGCACCACCACCCGACGCATTACTGCGCCTTCCAAGAAGCTGTTCGAGGGCACTCTTCACATCAGGCAACTTGGGAGGCACGACAATCACATCGGCCGGGCGGTCCCCATTGACATCGACCAACGTAGGATCGGCACCAGCCGCGAGGAGTGCCTTCACGGCATCAACAGCATCAAAGGATCCGCCGGATGCAGCACAGTGGAGCGCGGTGGTGTTGTCTGGGGCGGACGCACGGTTGACCTCGACAGACGGCAGGGAGAGGATGAACTTGAGGACGTCAAGGCTGCCGTACGTGGCCGCCACCATCAGGGGAGTTCGGTGCTCGAGCACCATGCGGTTGGAGCCCTTCCTGCGGCCGTACCAGAGGCCGACGTCGTCCACGGCCAACGGGTCACGATCGAGGGATCGCCCGAAGGCTTCCGCATCGTTGTTGGCTGCGAGTTCAAGGAGGCTCGAGGAGTCAGCGATCTCGACGGTGAGATGATTCATTCCCAAGACCGGACCGTGTTGTTGATGCTCTCCCCGTGAGGTTGGAGCCGGCGACGACGACGATGAAGGCTTTATGCGCTCCGGACCACCACACATGCTGCGGCCGGCATGAAATAGACCTAAAATCCACAGATTCATCAGAAGACTCGACAAAATCGCGTTTACAAAACCAACTCGCTGAAATGATCCAAAGAAAACGACCAAAACACTATTTTTCTCACTCCAATCCTCAACGAAGTACGCACAAGTTGACTGGATCGCCAAGACGACGACCTTATTTCTCATATAGAACACCAAAAGAGTCAAATAAATCAGCAGAGACTCGGAGAACACGGAAGAGAGATCTGAGAGAGCTCACGGATCCCGTCAGCCGAAGAGAGTAGATCGGGAAGGCTGCGATCGAAACCGGCGTCAATGCGCTCCCGATGCTTGAACCACCAGGGGAGCGGGACCGGGAAAAGGCGACGGCCGACGCCGCAAGCGAGCAAGTGGTGATCCGGAGAACAAACTAGGCGCCGCCTCCACACCACACCACCACGGCCGATTTATGAGAGGTCTCGGTCGCTCCCCACAAAACCCACCCCCAAATGAAACCAAATGAGACACCGCCCACATGAGGGCCACCTTTTTCTTTTTACATCCATTTAACGCCTCGCCTCCGTCGTTTATCCTACGCGCGTCGAAACGGAGCGCGCTTTAAATTTCGATCCAAATCGCGATGGACGGTCCGCCAATAATCTCTTCTCTACCTTCCGTGTTATTGCGTATTTATGATGGGACCCACGTGGGTCCCGTTAAAAGAAGTTGTTAGCTTTCGGGGTAGGGAACGGGTTCGGGACCGCCCGAGTTCGAATCCCGACGGGTGACCGGCCGAGCCGGTGCAAAAGGGCACGGGGGTGCGGAGAACCGGGTGGGTAGGTGAATCCGGTCACCGGATAAGGTCGCGTGCGTGTCTCGAGGGGCGGTCGAGACTGCTGGATTGGAATCCCGGGTGCGTTCCGCGAACCGGGCGCCGTACTGGACCCCAAGACCGGCCTATCAAAGCCGAGTCGCCGAGTCGGTGGCGCGGTCGAATCGGGTCGGAACATCGAATGCTTTGAGATTCGGGGCAGTAGAGTCGCGCCCCTCCAACGTTTGATGGATGAACGGCGCATCTCTGTCCAGTTGGCAAAGATAGGAGGCATGTCATGTCCTCTATGATGCATGCGTGGATACTTCGGACAATGTCTCCAAAGCCACCATGACTTCTCAAGCACCCAACGAGCAATCATGGCATGATCTGTGGCTCTCGATGTCCCAACCACGGACATCACAAAGATTGCTTTGTCAAATCAAATCAGCATGCTCGGAAAAGCTTCGCGCGAGAAGGTCAAAGGACGAACACCGATCGATGTCACTAGACAATCACCCAATCTTTCACATCATTAATCTCGTTGGAATAACATGATCCAAATAATAATAAAAACAATCTACATGATGATGATTGTTAAGTCATATTATTTGACACAAAAATAAATTCGGATTTAGTCGAGGTTTACTTCTAAATTCATCGTAGTTAATAGTATCCGAAGAGGTTCGATAGATAATCTATAAAACTACATCGAGATACCATATTGAGGCTTATTCGATGTGATAATAGATTTATATGATTCAAAAATATAATAAGAGAACGTATCTATGAGTTGTATAATCATGTGTCCAAGCAACCGAGAGTTATAGTTGACATTGAGATTATTAGTCATCATCTCAAGCAAGTAGGGTTCTTTGTATGTGCAAAAATAATATTTCTATTAGTGTCATATCATCAACGAAAGGATTATAATCATTATGAATCATACTAATCATACCATATGTGGATTATAAATCATGATCGATGCATATTATGGTTTAGTTAGCTAAGTCATTACATTATCACTAAATTAAAATAAAAAATATATATATAATAATTCAGATATCAAATTATTTTCATGACAATTGAAGTGTGGATAATCTTAATGATATGGAAAAAGAGTCTACTCGAAAGGTAAGGTATATATTTTTCTCTAAAAAATTTTCACTACGTTCATCACCTTTTCTTATTATCATCCATTGAAAATTTTGCGATGTCTTCTCATTTAACGATACTTATATTATTTTTTTTCCTTTGACAATTTTATCTCAACAAATATCACTTTAATATTGTCTATCTCAAGGCTTTTAGGAAAGTAATGTAATTTCACGATAAAAGTGAACCAAATCAACTCACAAGTTATCCTCAACTAAATGGACTCGTAAATTCCATTAATATGGACCAATCAAAATTATTATGTACATTCCCATATCGATTGCCCCATTAATCAAATTCATATTAATTTAATCACTAAAATGAATCATGTTAACATCATTTTTCAGGAAAAGTATATA